ATGCTATCCCAAGTAAACCCGAAGCTCCGTTTCTCAGAATTTCCTCTGTGCCCTTTTCTCTGCTCTCCTTCAGGCCCACGTAAGTACAGAAAGGAGGCCTTTGAGGGTGGGAATAACTGGGTCTGAAAATATATCTTAAGACAAAGCCGAGAGAAGACTGAGTCATGGCAGCAAAGCCTAGTTTCTCTCTCCCTTGCTTCGCTGAGCAGCTCTTTGGTGGGGCTGCCTTCCTTGCCAGGGAGCCTTCCCCAGAGGTCTCTGGGCCAGGAGGGAGAAACTGCAGGAGTCAAGGGGTCAACCTGAGTATTAGATGTTCAGGCTTCACATGCAGCCAAGTGAGAGAACAAATGGAGAACCGTGTTCTTAGAATCAAGGACTTTGGAAGGAACTTAGAATTCATTCATATTCAACCCTTTCATGCTAAATGTGAGGAGGTCACACAGAGAAGCTAAACTAGAAGGCAGGTCAGTGGACTTCACTCTAACACTTTAATCTACTACCTGATGCCCTGTAGACACTAGGCCTTTCCCTCTTGACCTCAATGGAAAGCAGCCAGACCTCCTTGCTAGAGGAAGTCTAAGGCAGCCCTGTGAACTTGGTTTGCTGCCAGAAAGCAGCAGCTTCCTCCTCTGCAGCCTTGGCCCAAGAGCTGGCTCCATGCTTACTTCCATAACCTTGGGCCCCAGGTAAGACCATTGGTGGTTCTTGGGTAATGTTCTCCCCAGGCCCTCCTGTCATTAGAGATAGAGCAAGTGAAAGGGCCTGGGAGGAGGGAGCGAGTACTCCGAGGTGGGGTGGAAAGCCTCTTCTGTCTGCCTCTCCATCTGAAGGGAGAATTGGGATCCAGTGCTGAGGAGTGGCGTTGGCCCAGCAAAGGTCGGGTTGAGGAGAGCAAAGCTGGTACAGAAGTGCTCATAGGAGAGGTTCCTCTCCTACCTTGATGCTGTTACATCAGAGTAGGTTCCCTAACTGCAAGGGGACAAGGACTTTGTGGGCTATGAACCTGGAGGCAGCCAGCTTGATGGCCAGAGTCAGTGTGAAGGTATTGTCCCTCCTGCCATGGCCTCTCTTATCCCTTGAGGTGGACTCAGCCCTTCACCCACACAAGTTCAGAGACTTGGGGAAAGAAAATAGGCTATTACCTTGGATATTAAGACTGTCCTTTGATCCCAGAGGAGGGGAGACATGAGTGTCTGGAGGCATAGCCAACTGATATTTTAAAATTTCCTTCCATGTTCCATGTCAGCCCAGAAACAGGTGGAAGCCTCTGGTAGACTGACCAGGTGGTACTTGGAGGCCTGGCCTATCTGTCAGTCTCCAGAAGCCCATGTGGGTCCCTGGTCTGACTCCAGGTATACTCAGATCAGAGTTCTGTCTCTTACCCAGAGCAAGGGCAACTTGGAAACAGAAGGGCTTGAGTGTTTACTGTTTTTCTTTTCTTATACCCAGAGACTTCCCTGCTTGTCTGTTAGACTGACAGGCATACTTAGGGGTTCCAGGGGCCTGAGGGAAGCAGGCAGATTGGGCTGTGAGTGTTGAGTGCTTTCTTAGGTATTGAATTGTACTTGGGGCCAGAAGTGTGGCCATGGGTGGGTGTGGGAAGCCTAAATCTCCTTTGCTGACTCTTTTTTTGGTGGCCTCAGCAAGGCTTCCAGAGGCTGCTCTCCTGGAGGAGGTCAGTGGGCTGGATGAGGACCACCTCCCCATGTTGTCCTGCCTGACTTATCTCTACAAGTTCCTCAGTTCACCATATTCAGGCTGGGGCCATTGGACCATCTGATTCTCAGATCAGGATGACTTGAATCATGTTGGCTTTGGCTCACAGTTCTTCAAAGGTGGGGAGAGCTGGAGCCAGCCAGAGAGGGCTGGGCTGGCCCTCAGACAAATGAGGCTGTCGGCATTCTGCACACAGCTGCACATACACAGTAATTGGCAAGGCGAGAGCCTAGGGGAGCAGGAGGGGCCGATCAATCTGGCTCGCTTTGGCACTAACTGGCTGGCCGCTCAACGAGCAGCAGGGGTCGATGCCTGGTGTGAGCCTGTGCCACTCCAATGATGGAGACAGTTAGGTCCATGGGGTGGTTCTGGTGAGAGCCCCTCCAAGACTGCATTGGACTAGTTTAGAGCTGTAGGGGACCATGGCCTAGCTGGGTGTGGATGTGAAGTGGGGAAACCTTAGAGCGATCCATGTTTGGATTCCTGGCTTATGAGTCCAGCTTGACCACTGTTCTGTCCTCTGTAAAGGCTGGACCTGAGGACCAAGGATGAATCTATCTCCCAGCCCAGTTTGGGCTAGCCTGGGTTGCCAGCCTGGTCTTGGGGTCATTCCACCAACAGGTCAGGCTGAGCTGCACTGTGTTTCCTAGTGAGTTCTCTTTTTCTTAGAGACCCTATAAAGCTGGTAGGGCAGCTAGACATTCCTGTGACTCAGTCTGTTCATCTCTGGGTTTGCTGTGTCCACCACGGTCTCTTCTAGACCTGCTTTCCATCTCTTTTTTTGGGGGAAGAGGTTTCTGCTACAGGGCACATGCGCTTGCTAGAAAGAGAGAGACAGAAAGCGAGAAATCACCCCCTGGGGGGATGGCCATGCTGCAATCCCTTCTCCTCCCTTCTCCTCTTGGGATCTTGGGCATGCACACACATGCACCCAGCATAAGTTTAAGCCACCAGGTCTGGGACTCGAACCGCAGTTGACTACATGGGAGTTCAGTGACTTAGTCATTACGCTAACTGCTGGTCCCCTTTCCATCTCTTTAGTGGTGGTGACTGTAGTGAGTGTCTGCGGTCTTGATGGACTGGTCCTGCTGTGACTCCCTGTGTTCAGATGGCAGCAGCAAGCCATGGACTTTCATTCATCCATTCATTCATTTATGGAATTACCAGAGTGCAGGTGCACTTGCCAGAGAGAGAAAGCAGGCCCCAGTGGGGAATGGTCATGCCACATTCCTTTCTCTATTTCTCCAACCTGGAGTGATTTTGGGTATGTGCACACACACACACACACACACACACACACACACACACACACACACGTGGCATGCTTCTCAAGCCACTAGAGCTGAGATTTGAACTGTGGTCAGACATATGGGATCCAACTCTATATGCACATCACTTAACCACTGTGCTACTGACCCAGCCCCATGAGGCTTTCTTGACCTGAGTCAAAAGCTATCATGGCAACTCTTTAGTCCAGTCACCCTGCGTATCGGTCTCAATACTGGAGCCCTGAGCTACACAGGCCTGCAGGGAAACAGACGTGCTTGCCAGTGTGGCAGGGCATTGGTGCCCTGCACTCCCTCACTGCTCTTAGACAGCAAGAGACCTATGAACTTCTCATGGCTACATTTTCCTGAGGCCATGACATTCCCCCTTCAGAGGGCCAGCATCACCCCAGGAATCACCAGGAGCTGGCCTGTTAGGAAGCTGTTTGGAAATGTGTTTTTTCTGTCATTTCCTGTTCAGCTAGCAGAAACAGATTTGCTTTCCAAAATCTCAGTGAGGACAACATCTGCAAGTAACCCCAGCTTACCCTCAGGACTCTAGATCAGTGTTCCCCTTCCTCTTCCCCTCACACCTGTACAGCTGCGGGAAAGAGGATGAGAAAGAACTGAAGGGGATCCAAAGGATTCAGGCTGGGGGTAGCAACAGTCAGCCAGTACATGTGTCTGCTAAATGGCTATGTAGCTGCCCTGGGTGTGGGCTCTCAGAGATTTTCCTGAGCCCCCAGAGAGCATGTTTAGGGGTTCTCTAAGGTGAAAGGTACCATAGGGTGGAACAGATGGACCTTACCCAGCAGAAAGGAAAGTGATGGTGTCTGTGGTATCAGCAGAAAAGGGCCTAGTTGCACACCCTTTGGATAGTCTCAAAGCATGTACCAAAAGTGCTCCCAAGAGATGCAAAGACTCAGAGCTGCTCTCCAGCAGGGGGCTCCAGGGCTTCAGGGCCCAGGGCAGCATCTGAGCCTCACAGAGCTAGGTCCCATGGCCTCGACAACTCCAGGAAAGCAAACCACCCATCAGGTGGCATCCATGGGTTGTTTGCTCACTGAACCTATACGCACCGAGGCCTCCTGTATGCTCTGCCTAGGATCTGCAGTGGGGCTCACCCGCTTAGCACAATCTAATGGGAACCGTAAACTTAAAATCAGTCTTAAAGTTATAGCTGCAATAGTTGCTATAGAAGTGGGGGCCAAGAGGGAGACAGAACACTGTCCTTTGTGCTGAGAGCTCAGGATTCAGGCGGGTGAAGCTGAGCTGTACAAGCTGAGACAGACAGCTGCTTGGTGTGTGGCTGAGATGAGGCAGCCGTGGGCACATGCGGCAGAGCAGTCTTGTGGAGTTTCTCCCTGGAGATGCTGTGCTAAAAGGAGGTGACACACAGCACAAGTGCCCTTTGTGGTTTGGGGAAGTCACGTACACAGGAGTGTCCCTGAGAAGGGCCTGGTCCTTGCCTGCTCCCCAGGAACCCCTGCCCTTTCAGCAGACTGGAAAGTATAATTGTCTGGAGTTGTTTCCACATCTGAGAGGCTGAAGCTGAGATGGGGACTGCAGGGGTCTTCCTCTGCCCTTGGGGAATTGGAGGGAGGTCAAACCTTCTCTGCAAGGACTAGGAAGTTCCTCTAAGTGGCTTGTTCTGAGCAGCTAGGGATCAGAGTTTAACTCTGACTCAGGATGTGCTGAGGAAATGTGGGTCTTTTTCAAATCTCTGTAAGTTATGGTGGTCTTGTATAGGTTAGGGGTCTTGGTTGGGGGGTCCTCCCTGAGCCAGGAATTGGCTCCAGGGTACCTTCACAGTTTGCTTCCTGGGAAAGTGGAAAGTGCTTTTCTTCCTTGTCAGTGGCGTGGCCAGCACTGGGTTGAAGAGGAAGCCCAGAAAGCTAGATGGGAAGGTGTGGCAGTGCCCCTCTCTAGGGGGAGTGTAGGTCTGGGTACTGTGGTGGTAGCATGTCCAGATGGCGTGGCAGTGTTGACAGCTCTCTAATGCTTGTCCTTGACCTCCAGCCCTGGCCCAGCGTGTCCAACCTGGCCAAAGACTTCATTGACCGCCTGCTGACAGTGGACCCTGGAGCCCGAATGACAGCGCTGCAGGCCCTGAGACACCCGTGGGTGGTGAGCATGGCAGCCTCTTCGTCCATGAAGAATCTGCACCGCTCCATCTCCCAGAACCTCCTCAAACGTGCCTCGTCGCGCTGCCAGAGCACCAAATCTGCCCAGTCCACACGCTCCAGCCGCTCCACGCGTTCCAACAAGTCACGCCGTGTGCGGGAGCGTGAGCTGCGGGAGCTCAACCTGCGCTACCAGCAGCAGTACAATGGCTGAGCCACCTAGCTGTGGTACAGACAAGCATGGCTCAATCTGGCTACCCGTTCTGTGCCATCTGGGCCCAGTCCTCTCTGGAGAGAGGTCTGTATGGCCAGAAGCAAGAGAATGTCCGGCCTCAGCCCCTTCTCTGTGCCATCAGCAGCCCCATCCTCCTCATGGGCTTGGGCATGTGTGACAGAGTAGAGGTGACCTGGAGACTATGACCACCCCCAACACTGGGAGCCTGGCCTGGCACTGATACCCCTTATGTGGGCAGCTGCTCTGGTTGGAGTTGGGACCAGACCTAGAAGGGACCGGACCTGGCTTTTGCTCTTTTTTACCTTTTGGCTTTTCCCCAGAACAAAGGAGTCTGCAGTGCTAGGTGGAGGGAGTCCTGTGGCTCCAGGACCCCTTGAGACAGTTACTTCTAGAACCCTCCTCCCTCCACAGAGCCCTATTCCCTGGTGCTGCACATTCCACAGCATCCTGACCAAGATTTTGCTCCAGTTGGGAGGCCCAGCTTTGTACCTGCTTGGGCCTCCCAGAGGGACAGTCTTGATCCTTAGTTCCTGGCCAAATACAGATAGCCCTCTGCCTCCTAGCCAAGATCTGTCTTCCATCATGGTGACCCTGGGGGCCCTGTTGGTCCCGGGGTTCACAGAGCCTCCATGGTAGCCCCGTAGTGTTCAGGTCTGTGTGGCTCTGCTGGCCCCGGGCTCCAGCCTCTCTGACTGTGAGAGGGGTTCCCACCCACAGCCCGCTGCCCTTGGTGCCTTCTTCGCAGAGTCCCTCATTACCTCCCTCTCCCCTTGGATGCCCATTCCATTCCCCGGGTGCCTCCTTCCCCTGTGGGGGATTAAAGGAGCCCCACTGCTGCTACCTGGGGGATGGTGGCACCTGGGCCAAGGCCGAGAGCAGGGGATTCCCCCACTAGAATGCCAACGTTAGCCCTGGCTCCACCCTTTGTGCTGCCCGTTGCTTCTTCACTCCTCTGCAGCTGCATGAAGGTGCCACCTAGTGGCTAGCATGGATATAGGTGGCCCCAAAATGAACACTGCTCACCCTTAGTGCTCCAAGAGGAAGTGGAAGGAAGGAATTGCACTAGGGGAGAGGCCCAGGCAGCTGGGCTCTCTTAGCTTCTATGCACCTCTCCCTGGAACTTAGCCACACTGTGTGATCTGCCTCTGAATCCTGGCTGCGAGGGCACTGGCCAGCTCCCAGCTGGCCTTGCCCCTCCACCCAGTGCCTGCTTCCTCTCTCAGCATTCTCCCAGTCTGGGTCCACTGTCTCAGGCTAGAGGGAGCCCCTGCAGATGGTAGATGGAGTCAGGTGGCTGCTTTTCCAGAGACCTGAGCCAGAACTGTCCCCGTGTCTGTCATGGTCCTTACCCACCACAATCCAGGCTGGAACCCCTCCCTCCACAGCTGCTTTCAGTGGATAGGTAGGGGCCAGGGCCCAGCTTTGACCTTAGCTATACTCCATGGCCCCTGCCCCAGGAGGGTTTGGCCCCCACTCAGCCTCCTTCCAGTGGGCAACTTTGGGGCAGGCCCCCTTTTCTGCATGTGCCACCTCCAGTGGAAATCAGACCAAAGTGACCACTCTGTGCCAAGTCGACTGTGCCTTATACACCCCTTTCCTTCCATCTCCACTGCCCTCTGGCCAGGAGGCAGTGGGAAGCTTGAGCCCCAAGGCCTCAGAACTTCTCTCAGCTCCCCGAGTGTCTCTAGGGGCCTGGGCCCTGGGGATTTATTTCTTCTCTTGCCCAGGTTAGGCCTGGTCTTAAGGGTAGGATTGGGGAGTTGGAGACTTGGGCATTTGATTGGCCCACCTGGGCCTTCACGCCATGGACTGTGGATGGAGAATGTGCAGTTATTTATTTTGTGTATTCAGTTTGTAAATGTACCCGCTGTATTCAATAAACAGGCTGCCCTCCCTAGGGAAAGCTGCCCATTCTCTCCAACAGCCCTGGCTCCTTGGTGTAGGTCCAAGGAGTTGCCCTGGAAGAGGACAGGTGGACATGACCACTTTAGGAAGATCCTCACTCCTTGGCCTCTTTTCCATTCTACAAGACAAAGTCCAAGTGGGGAATGGGACCCATTGCCCTGAGCAGGGAGGACAGAAAGAATACATGAGAGGATAGAACCTGGGCTCTTTATTCGATGGAGCTGGGCGGGGCGAGGTGCTGTAGTGGGCTCAGTTATAGGCTATGACCTGGTTGATCCAGGCATTGAATTTGCTAACCCGTGTGTACATGGCAGGTGCACGCACATTGCAGTCACTAGTGCCCCAGGAGACAACACCAATGAGCACCCATGTGTTTCCCTTCTGGCAGACAAGAGGGCCTCCAGAGTCACCCTAAGGGAAGAAGAGAAGTCAGTATTGGGCTTGGGGAGGTGTGCCATAGGATAGGACGAGGACAGGTACCAGGCTTACCTGGCATGAGGAGGCACCTGAGCCACCTGCGCAGATCATGGAGTCAGTGATACGTGAGCCCCAATACTGCTGGCACTGATTCACAGTGACCAGCGGCAGAACTACTTGCTGCAGACGCGCTGGTGTCACGTTGCCTGTGGGCCGGGAGCAAGTGGTCCGAGTGGCTAAGGATGCTTATCCCCATCGCAACTCTTCCACCCAGACCTGTGGCCCAAATTCCTACCCACGCCACTGAGGCGGCCCCAGCCGGTGGTGACACAGGTGAGGCCTGTGGGCAGCACTTCGTTTGAGGAAGCCAGGCAAACTGGAGAGACACGTGCTGTGTACTGGGCTGGCGAGGCAAGCTTCAGTAGAGTCAGGTCGTTGTTCATGGTGGCAGCATTCCAGTTAGGGTGCGTGATGGCCTGTGACACCGGGAAGGGGTTATGGAGGGCTGAGGTGGGCACAAGCACCCAGGGTTGGTGGACACTAAGAGGGGCAGGCCAGGGTATGTCCTAAATTCCTCATTCCCAGAGCCTAGCCACTGTACCGCCACACCTGCAGCAAACACTCACCCGTGAGATGGACAGGACCTGCACAGGCTCAGCATTGGAGGATCGGTCGTACTCACCCAGGACAACAAAGTGGCGACCAGGGCTGTGGTGAGAGTGAGGTTGGACAGCCGCAGGGAGAGGAGGGCAGAGTGGGAGGGGGAGGGAAGAAGTGGGCTGTGGTGGAGCAGGCAGAGTGCAAGTGCTCACCTGACATTGCAGTGGGCAGCAGTGACTACCCAGTACGGGCTGATGAGAGAACCGCCACAAAAGTGGAAGCCAGTGCTGTCCTGGGGTCAGAGGTCAGGTGTGGGAGTGAGCTCAGACTATTCTTAGGTGTGAAACACTTGGGACCCTGCTCCACCCCCGCTCCTGGGGTGTGTGTACCTGCAGGGACACCTGCCAGGGCCAGGAGCCCGACACTGCATTCTCCCCGTTGACAATCCTCTGGCTGAAGCTCAGTGCCGGTTTGATGGCAGGGACACCGCAGCCTGGCCATTGGGCTGATGAGGACCTGCTTCCCACACCCCAGCCCAACATCCCCCTCCTCCCTCTCCTGGGTGTCCTCAAGCTATGCACCCCTGAGGGGTCAAAACAGTAAAGATCTGTCTTTACTCTTCTCCTAAGCACCTTCTAGGCCTCTAGACCTATCTCAGTTATCTACATCCACCCAACCCCCAAGTCTTGTCCATTCTCTCCCCACTAAACTGCAAACAAACAGAGCTCCACAGGAGGCACCACCCCAGGCCACTTGTCCTGACCCCTGGGATGGCCTCCTCCCTGACTTCTCCACCCACTCTAGACCTTAACAGCTCTCATCCTTCATACAGCCAGAGTGCTCTTCCTAAACTATACATTCAGCCTTCATATCCCAACTTCCTAAAACCTTCCAGGTTTCCAGGCCTGGCTGAAGCTCCTGTTCCATTTGTGAGGTGGGTGGGGCCACCCCGCAGCCCTGCATGCCCATTCCCGCTCCTTGCCCTGGCACACCTTCCTTTGCCTACTCTGTCTAATTCTCCCCTTTCAGTCAGCCTGGCCCCTGGACTGGTGCTGGGAGGTGGGTTGCCCTCAGTGCTACTCACCCCAGGAAGACCCAAGGAGGACCAGACTGAGAGTCAGGCTAAGCAGCAGCATTGTGGCAGGTATGAGGGTGAGTACTGGGCCTGGCTTTATGGGTCTCCTTGTCCTTGAGCCAAGGCCAGGCCAGCTGTGTAGGCTTGGCCTTCTCCCACGCTCTAGTCAGGAGGGTCTCTTTAAGGACTCCCAATCCAAGCCTGATTTATCAGACAGAGCCCAGGTGTGAGATTCTCACCAGCTCCACCTCCCAAAGTGTGGCCGCTGATTGGTTCCCTGACCGTGTCACAGCTCAGGTTTTTAGCACTGGGTACCAAGAGCATCTAGGTTAAATTAATTTTTTCTTGGAGTTTTTTTTTTTTTTTGCTATAGGGTGTGTGCACTTGCCAGACAGAGAGACAGAAAGTGAGAAATCACCCCCCAGAGGGGATGGTCACGCCGCAATCCCTTCTCCTCCATTCTCCTCTCGGGATCTTGGGCACGCACGCACACGTGCCCGGCATGAGTTTTAAGCCACCAGGTCCGGGACGCGAACCGCAGTCAACTACATGGGAGTCCAGCGACATAGCCATTATGCTAACTGCTGGTCCTGTACTTTTTTTTTTTTTAGGTTAAATTAATTCTGTAGTGACAACCTGGTGGCTGATCAGGATGTCTCCCAGTCCTGTTAAGAGTACCACACATTCAGAGGAGGCCGCTCATAGTCCAGGAATGTTCTGTCTGGTGGAAGGAATGACTAGCTTTTTTACGGAGGGCCAGGGCCATGTGGCCAGGACAGAGGTTCTTGAAGGTTGTAAACCTTAATAGACTTCATGAGGCCAGCAGGTGGCGTGGTGGTTCAGGCGCTGGATATTCCCACGTGGCTGACCACGGTTCGAGTCCTGGACCTGGTGGCTTGCTTTCTCACTTCCCCTCTCTCTCTGTGTCTCTCTCTGGTCAAATTAAAAAAATAAAATAAACCTTTAAAAAAAAAGAATTAAAAATAAACCTTAATAGACATCATCTTGGTGATTCCTCATAAACTTGGAGTGGGAGTCACCAGTTTGCTCAAAGATGGTGATTCACTCACCAGAATCAGGGGTGGGTACGGTTGGACACCACAAACCATCAGCTGTGTGGCTCTGAAGCTCACACTTAATAATGAGATGTTTGTGAGGGGCCTGGCACACAGAAGGGCGAGGTGGGAACCCTCAGTGAATGGTAGACTATGGACTGAGATTGAGGATAAAAGGATGACAGCCATCAAACCTAGGCCTTCAGGCTCCCATGGGAAAGCCCTTGGTGTCTACAGCTCATTAGCTATTGAGTCCAGGCTGAGCTGGCTGACCACCTTCCAGGAGTGTGAAGGCTTTGACAGACTCAAGGTAGCAGTCAAAAAAGTGAGATGAGGGGACAGTTGGCATAATGGCTATGTCGCTGGACTCCAATGTAGTCGACCGTGGTTCAAGTCCCAGACCCGGTGGTTTAAACTCATACCGGGCGCGTGTGCATGTGTGCCCAAGATCCCGAGAGGAGGATGGAGGAGAAGGGACTATGGCGTGGCCATCCCTCCTGAGGGGTGATTTCTCACTTTCTGTCTCTGTCTCTGTCTTTCTGGCGAATGCATGTGCCCTATAGCAAAAACATCTCCAAAAAAAAAAAAAAAAGGAAATAAATAAATAAAGTTAATTCCATTTGTTATTATCATTTTTAAAGAATTCTTTTGTCTTTTATTATTTTAATTTGACTTGAGAAAGACAGAGAGAGAAAGCAAGCAATCAAATTTAGGACTCAAATTGCAGTTGGCCATGTGGGTGTTCAACGCCCTTAATCACCACGCCACCTGCCAGCCCCTATTATTATTATTATTATTATTATTATTTCTAATTTGACCAGACAGAGAGAGGGAGAGAAAGGGAAAGCAAGAAAGCAAGCCACCAGGTCCAGGACTCAAACCACGGTTGGCCACCTAAGAATCCAGCACCTTTAACCACCATGCCACCGGGTGGCCCCAAAATAATTTTTTTCTCTTTCTCTTTTTAAAATAACAATTATTTATTTTTTATTTTTTTCTGGAGAAGTTTTTGCTATAGGGTGCGTGCGCTTGCATCCCCCCCAGGGGGATACCACGCCACAATCCCTCCTCCATTCTCCTCTCGGGATCTTGGGCACACATGCACATGCGCCCAGTGTGAGTTTAAGCCACTGAGTCTGGGACTCAAACCGAAGTTGACTACATGACAGCCCAGCGACATAGCCATTACGCTAACTGCTGGTCCCAACAATTATTTAATTTTATTTATTTATTCATTTTTTAAAGCATCATTTTATTCATTGTCATTATTTTTTTATTTGACTGAAGTTGACCAGAGAGAAACAGAGAGAGAGGAAAGTGAGAAAGCAAGCTGTTCGGTCTGGACTCAAACCATGGTCAGCCATGTGGGAGTTCAGCTGCCTTAACCACCATGCTATCAGCCGGCCCCTCATTCATTTATTTTTTAAATTTGACCAGAGAGAGAGACACGGGAAAGTAGAAAATGGGCCACCAGGTTCGGGACTCAAACCTTAGTTGGCCATGTGGAAGTGTCCAGCACCTTAACCATCACGCCCCCTGCTGGTTCCATAAAATCATTCCAGAAAGAAAGAAAAAAATGTTAGGAAAAGGGGCCAGCCAGATGGTGTGCTGGTTAAGGCAACTGGATCCTACATGGCCACACGTGTGGTTCAAGTCCCAGACCTGGTGGCTTGGAAAATAAACTGGGACATGTATGTGTGTGCTCCGAGTCCCAAGAAGAGAATAGAGAAGGGATTATGGTGTGGCCATCCCCCCTGGAGGGTGATTTCTCACTTTGTCTCTCTTCAGTGAGCGTATGTGCCCTATAGCAAAAAAAAAAAAAAGTTGGGGGAAAAAAGATACAGTCAGGGGTCCAAGGATATCTGGCCCTGAGTAGACCCTTATGGTTGGGCAGACTCTCCCTAACAGTTCCAAAGCTCCCATGGAGCTCAGCCATTCTCTCTGAGGGCAAGATGTTCTGGCAGCACCTGGGCCTGGCACTCAATGGGCACTCAGCAAAGGCTTACTGGATAAATGTGTCATCTTTGTTCATATGAGTCCTGTGACCCCACCAGCCCAGAAAACTTGGAGTCAGCCTCCCTACTCACAGCCCAGCATGTGCAAACAGAAGCCCAGCTTTGTGTAAGTAGCTTGGGTGTGCCTGGTCCTCTGAGGGGTGTCCAGGTGCAGGGGTGAGGTGTACTCTGTGAGAACTCCCTTGGAGTCAGGGAACAGCATTATTTGCACTCTAGCCCTTAATAGGGCTCATAGGGGGCCTGAGTGAGAAGTGTGGGATCCATCCCTGGCCACTGAGGAGTCAGGGAAAGGTTTTAAAACAGCTAGTACACAGGGCCGTTTCAGTTTTAAAGCAGCGGACTAGAGAGCAAGAGCAAGGCCAGGGAGCATTGGGGGAGCCTTCGTGGTGTGGAATCAGAAGGGTTTTTGGGGAGACACACTAGGAGCTTTTGACCTTGAGACTGCAGTGTTGGCCAGGGTTGGGGTGCCGGCGGGGGAGATACCTGAGGCGGTAAGTGAAGGGCACCTCTTAGGCCAGATACTGGAGTCACAGGAGGCAGTGGCCTCTGTAGGGATGAATACCTGAGTCACAGAACCCTGCTGGCTGCCTGCCCCACCCAAGAACAACACAGTTTAGATGTTTGCATTCAGTATTTTCTAGGTTTATTCCCTCCTTGTTCCAAACTCGTAAGTCTCAGCTTACTTCATTCCACCTCCATGGCCTGCACGGTTTCCTCTACAAGTTCCAGGTTCAGTGGCCTCACTGTCTGGGTCAGGATAGCTGTGGTCCCAGGGGCAAAGCGGTAGCAGCCATGTCTGGAAGGGAGGAGGGAAGCCTCTCAACATGGGCCCATCATGTGGCCCACCCTCTTCTTGTACCCTCTTATCTCTCCCGCTACTGCCCCACCCTCCCTGCTGTCTCCCCTGCTCCCACCTCTTCACCATGGGTTCCGTGGGTGAGCTCAGTGTTCGCAAGAGTTTGGCGCCAGTCCTGGTGATCACGCACGCATCCACGCTGCCCCCGGAGCCCAAGTCACCCAGGATCCCTGCGGTGACAGCTTCCACCAGCAGCGCCTGCGCAGCCTCCAGCTGTGGTGGTAGGTGTGTGTAAGGCCTAGGGGACTCTGGTGTCACCTCAGACCACAGCAGGGGACTTTGTTAATCTTGAAGCCCGTATTATTCACTGTTGCTCACACCCAACCTCCTCTCTTCCTCCACTACAGACTCCCCTTCCCTGGTCCCTCCCTTCCCAGACTGTGATGCTTCCACCAGCTGCCCTTCTCTTCACAGACTTGTCACAGGTTTCTTTCTCTGGATGTCTGCCACCTCTAGAGTGACGTCCATTACCTTCCTTCCATCCTTCCCCAGACAAAATAGACAGGACCCCACCAGTCTTTCCCTCTTCCCTTAGCTCCAACGGATCAATTTCTCAAGGCCATCCAAACTTTGTCCAAACCACACTTCTCCACCCTCATTTACTTAACCCTAAGTCTCTACTCAGTTGTCACCTCTGAGATGCTTCTCTCCAACTTCAAACTGGACCAAGATCCCTTTGTGATCCCCCAGGTCCTCCTCCCCACCAATGACCATGTAGTGGAGGTCAGAGGTTGCTCACCGTCATGTTGGGCTGGAACCGGTCCTCCAGCACGGCCAGCGCTGCATCCTGGCCAGAGCCTGCAGGGGGAGGGATATTTGAAGTCAGCTGAGGCCACTCAGTCTGGGGGACAAAGGAGAGGCCAAGAGGAGGAAGAGAGGCGGTTGGGTGTGAGCAACATTGAATAATACAGGGTTCAAGATTAACAAAGTCCAGGGACCAGCAGTTAGCGTAATGGCTATGTCGCTGGACTCTCATGTTGTCGACTGCGGTTTGCGTCCCGGACCCGGTGGCTTAAACTCACGCCAGGTGCGTGTGCGTGTGTGCCCAAGATCCCGAGAGGAGAATGGAGAAGGGATTGCAGCGTGGCCATCCCCCCTGGGGGGTGATTTCTCACTTTCTGTCTCTGTCTCTGGCGAGTGCAGGCGCCCTATAGCTAAAACCTCCCCCAAAAAAGATGAACAAAGTCCCCATGCTGTGGTCTGAGGTGACACCAGAGTCCGTCCGATAAGCCTCTCACACATCACCACAGCTACGAGGCGCTCCTGGTGGAAGCTGTCACCACAGGGATCCTGGGGATCCTGGGTGACTTGGGCTCCAGGGGCAGCGTGGATGCGTGTGTGATCAGTGGGCAGGCGGTTCGAGAAGGGTCGGAAGTGCTCACCCAGGGCGGTGAAGAGGTGACGGCCGTAAGAGCCGTGGGGATGCACGCCGTAGAGCTGCGGTCCGGTCACATCTACTCCGCCCACGATGAGGGACGCGCCCACGTGGCCCTGGTACCTGTACGAGTGGGCGTGGTCAGAAACGAGCCAATTCCAGGTCCCGCCCCTCGCCCCCACGGCGGCGCCCCTGCATCCGGGCCCCGTCCCTCCCTGCGGCCCGGCGCTCCGAGGCAGATATCGCCGCTTCCTGTTGCCGATCTCCTAGGCCGGCCTCTTCCGGCCTCCGGGCACGTAGTAGACCTACTCTTCTGCCCCACCTCCTGTCAGTCCCGCCCAGCAACGGCCGCTCCCAGGTCATCTCAGCCACGCCCCAGTACCGGC